CAGGTACCGTGCGGGTCTCACAGCAAAGGAAGCAGTTAAATAGCCACCGTTCCATAGCTCCCTCCTGTTCTGAACTCTTTCCTCTGCTGTGCCAATTACTGTAGCTTTTAAGACCCCAGGGACTACACAATTTACTAGGAGGCACAACAGAAGTATTCAATATATTATTAAGCACCCATTAGCAAAGAGTTAAGCCGCAGTTTTATGAAAGCAGAGAGTCACTTCAAAAAGAAAAAAGTGGGCCCCTCTCCCCAGTGAGAAGGGACCACCATAAGCATAGATAAGATATACTTTTCTCTGGAGGACCCCCTGAGAAGTAAGGGGACACCTTAAGCATAGTTGAGATACGCTTCCGTCTGGGTGCGAAGCCGGTCTCCCCTCTGGAGTTGACATGAAGACATTGTCTACGGGAACACTGCTTACAAGGCACTTACACGGCGCTTTCAGGTGGGAGGGGGTTGCTGCTCTGCAGACGGTCAAGCAACTTTCTAATTCATTACCCAGTCCGTCCTGCGGTCTCGCGAATCATTTCTTTCCCTTTTATCTGGGCTGTTGCTCTGGGGTGGCATGTCGCAGAATGTTGCAGTCCGGCATCAGGATGTCCACAGGGCCTGGCTTCAAGGTTACAGGGTTGCCCAAGCCAGTTCTCACAGGGTCCTTTGTTCATTGTGTCATAGGGTCCTTTGTTCATTCCCTTAGCTGGCAGGGCAGAAGCCCCATTCTGTCCCTGTCAAAATGTAAGTTCAGGTTAAAGCTGAAGGCAATGAAAAGAAGTCCAGGAGAGCCAAAATATGACCTGGAGACTCTCCGACATGAATTTCAATAGCCCCTCGAGAACAGGTTTGGTGCACTGAACACTAATTGACAGAAGGCTCGATGAGCTAGAGAAGGGCATCAAGAACATCATTCATGAAGAAAGCAAAAGGTCACGAGAGACGGGAAAGAATTACGAAAAGATCAAAGTGGATGTCAGCAGAGCCTCTGGAACAGAGATGCAGAGGATGGAGAGAAGCTAAAGCAAACGATGGCGACGAGGAAGTCAAAGAGCTGAACAGGCGATTCCAAAGCAAACTACTACGAGGAAATGTGCAAAGACCTGGAGTTGGAAAACAGGCAGAACACGCTCAGCGTACTTAAACCAGCGGTTCTCAAGCTGTGGGTCGCCACACCT